CCGGGTTCTAAGTAAAGTTGTTCAGCGGATAAAAATACTATAGGTCTATTATTAGCAAATTAATGTGTTAGATTGATATTTGGTGTGAAATTTCCTATTTCGGAAAAGTTAAACTTTTAGGTTTAACAGTAGGTACAATTAAAATTTGTCTATTATTAATTCATCTGTACAAAGCATTTCGACCCTTAAAAATATTAGAAAAGAAGATATTTTTGTTGATTATTATTGAAACAAAACAGTTTGGATGACTATTAAAATTTAGAATAAATTTTTAATTAATTTAAATCAATAAATAACAAAAAGAAATTAATATATTCTTTTTTTATTTGATCAAGTATTAGCACATTGCAGTGAATCAAGTTTAACTTCTAATAATTTAACATACATTATATTATATTCTTTATTATCAAATACTACTACCCATTTGCAACCAATAAATGCTAGTATTATTTGCTCTTTTAAGATAAATAATTATAATTTTAATATATTTTATATATAATTAAAGTTTTTTTAATTTAATTATAGGTTCAATATAGAAAATTACTTGTTAAATTTAAAGTGAACCAGTTTAATTTGACATATGAAACAGATGAATTATCAGAAGATATTAATATTAAGCATGTTATAGATTAAATTTCTGAAGTATGGAATAATGTTACTTATAATACTATATTAAATTCTTGGAAAAAAACAGAAATTTTACTATTATTACAATTATTATCTTTGGAATCTAAAGATCCACCTATATCTTTTTCTGATAGTACTATATTTGGAGAATTAATTTTATTTGAAATAGAAGAACAAGAAATTCAAAATTTGATTAATCAATTATTTTATGAAAGTAAAAATATTATCAATGCTGTGAATATATTAAAATTGATAATTCTTTAAAAAATATTAATTTAACTAATGAATATATTATTAATTTAGTTAAAGGAAAAACATCTAAACAAAATATTGATAAAAAAATCAAACCAGAATTAGTAATTGAAAGTGTTAATAATATTTTTCAATTTGTAAAACAAGAATCAAATTTTATATTAGATAGTGATAAAATAGAAGTTCTTTTATTTATTTAACAAAAATTATTAAATTACAAAGAATAATTATATATAATATAATATTTCTATTTTCATTTATATATTTATATATTATTTTATTTTAAATTTTATTTTTATATGCATATTTATTTATTTATTATTATTGAAATTTATAATATATTTTGTTTTTATATTTTTTAGATTATATATACTGTATGTATAAAATATTAAATTTTTTTTTATAATTTTTTTTTTAATATTGATTAATGAATTTATTTGATTTTACTAATAAACTATACTAAATTTTTTTATAAATTATTAAAGTAATATTATTATATAAGTTTCGCGTAAGTCACGTGATCACGATTCTAAATTATTATTTTCTTTTTTTTTTATAAATATTTCTTTTATTTTTAATAATATTGTTATTTTATAAATTATTAATATACAAAGATATTATTTATAAACTAATTTTATAAAATTAATTTAAATATTATTAGAAAATTTTTAATTTATATAATTTAATTATATAGAGTTTTTAAAGAAATTATTTATTTATTTTTGTTATATTTACCAATAAAAATATTATTTACAATATAAATAATTTAAATAAACTTAAAATTTTATATTATTTATCTATTTATTTTACTAATATTAAATTAAAACCAATAATTTTGTTTGATTGTATTTTTATTAATTTATAATATAAATTTACAAAACTTAAAATTTGGTGATAAAATATGATGTAATTTATATATATAAAAATTTAGAGCTTGTTATTTAATAGAATATGCCAATATTGAAAAAGCACTTCTATCTTTTCGGAAATAGAACCGACGTTTTATAGCTAAATACACGGTACCTGGAATCCGATGATCATTAACACAATTAATAAAAATGGTAATATATAAAAGTATCGTTTTTGATGCCTACGATCATCAATTAATAGATAATTGTGTGATGGGACAATTATCGAGAGTTGACCTGTAATATGCACGGATCATCATCCAATATACCTGCATCACAAAATGGTAGTGATGTTAATATGGCCGATGCAGGAAGTAGTCAACCTATAAATGAGGAAAGTTAGACCTATTGTAAAACAATGACACTTCGTGTCTGTCCTGCTATGTAAAATTTCATCTGAAAAAAAATTACCCAAATGTTTGATTATATAAATAAAAATACTGAGTTAATGGATTGAAGATTTTGGAACATCTACATATGCATAATTATTCGTGTAACCTGTTAATTGTTGCTATAAATTCCAAATCTGATTGACTAACTCGTGGCATTCACATTTTCTTTGTGAAAAGTTTTTTTTCGTCGTGCATTGCTCCATTTTCACATTCCCTAAATCTATTCTTCCCATACCTAAATAAGGTAGAAATAATGGGTGGAAATGTTTTAAAAGGATAGTATATTTACGTTGTGGTTGTTTGTTATTTTAACTTGAGATATAACAAAGCTAATATGTCTATTGATTTACAAACAAAAATTTACAATTTCCTGATTAAACGCAGAAGAAGACCACATAACTGCTGGATCTGTTATTTACCAAGCTATAGAAGACGATCCATGAATAGAAAAAAATGAGTTGAGGGGTCTTATAGAACAGGCGGTGGTATTTACTAATAATCGAAATATTCGAGGTTCGTCATGCCATATGACACTTCTCGAAATTCTATCCGAAGTAAGTTATCTAACTTTTATTAGTAAATAGAATATTAATATCGAATGATGAATAACATGGGTTGTGGTACAGTTCTAAGTAATGGTTTAAATATCCTAGTAGCCCACTCACAGGAAAATTTCCTCGGCAGTGTGGAGGTTATTTAGGCCAGATAAATGTGGTTATTTAGTATCACATAAAGTCTTATTTGCGTGTTGAAGTAGCTAACCACACAAGGATATAGCTTTATTTATATTTTGACGGCACATGCGTTTTTTTGACAATTATTTATTATTATTTTTTGAAAACTAATTAATAATTGTATATCTGTATTAGTTCGAAATTTCATATAAAACTGTCTGTAGTTAACGTATTATTGGAGCGGTGAAAACAAATAAAGAAAGGCCTCTTAGTTCTGATCAAATAGAAAAAAATATCAAGGCGTTAAAAGGAAAACTTAAAAAAAACCCTGTACAGCTTTACCAGTATTTGTTTTCCAGTATAAATAATATATCCATTTTGGAGTTAACTTGGAAAGATCCTCTAGCTAGCCAAGTGATTAGCAATGATTCAGATTTAGTACAAAATTTACCTACGCAATTAAGGGACTCTTTTATGGTGAGCATTTTTTTTTTCAGCGGAAATGGCACGGTAAAAAAAGTTAATGAGAGTTGCATTCTAATTTATTATTTTATAAGAAACCAGTGCGGCAAATGGTACCTTCATCTCTTTCACATATTATACAAGAAAAATGCAATGAATTCATAGAAAACTTTATTGAGATAGGTAAAGACAGTTTACCACGAAAACTTATACATAATGGAATGTGAAAGGAATCAAATATGGAGCTTGCAAAGGTTGCATCAAGAATTTTGGGTACTCTGAATAATGCATAAAATAATCCAGCATTTAATCCTAAGGTTGTAGAATCGCAAAGTGAAGGCACTTATGTAAATAATGTAATATTACCCGTTATATGAGCTATCTTAAAGTGTCTTCCTCTAGGAAAATCCACCTTTGTCAGTAGTTTTGAATGTCAAAGCAGTGCTAGTGCAGATAGAAAGGGTGACGGGCGGCTGGGAAGACAGTCAGATATTATGTTCATAATGAAACGTGGTGGAAAAAATTACGAACTTTTATATACTGAATGTTCATGCCTGACTTGTACAACACAAAAGAAAAAAGACGAAGTGAAGTTGTGGCGTAAGATTAATGATGGTATATATTGGACTCGTAAGAGTTGTAAGCCTGATAAGGATGAATTTGGTATTATTGGAGTATAGGTAATAGGAAAGAAAATATATCTAAGTGTTCTTATTAGGGATATGAGTGAGGTACATTGTTATTATCACCTCCACAAATCAGAAATATCGATTCAACAATCAACTCCCTCTGTTGTTGTAAAATTTATAGAGACCTTGCTAATATTATGAAATATTCTTATTGTTAATATGACCTTGCTCCATAATGCATCCTTACCTAAATCAATTAAGCTTATAGAAGATAGTTCAACAGTATCATCCCCTCTGTATGATAATTAGATTTGAATCCTTTGGATTTTTTCATTATCTATAGTATATTTAACCTGTGTATTTTTCCATGTATTAATAAAGCTAGACCTGGTGTTTGTATAAATATATTTATATTTTTTCGTATTATATTAATAATCAAATAAGTGTTTCGGTATTTGCGCGATCAGATATCGTTCTCACGTAACAGAAATTTCAATTGTATGATTTGGGTTATTTTGATCCATTCGATTAACTTTTCCTTCCATAGGAAACTGTAAAATACAAATTAGATTACGCAATACACACATTGGTGGTTCAGTCATTAGTATATTTCAACCTTTATTATTCACGTATCGTGATTGGCGCACTATTAACTGATCTTTGTATATATACGTCCTACCAATCAACGATTAATTACCACCACTATCCGCACTTCTTTTTTTCTGCGAAAGCATACATTATTCATCTTGAGTAGGACATCGGCTCTAGGAATAAAATCCTAACAGCTCGTCGAATAGTGTTGCTTTTGTCTTTTTATTATTAATACACTACAGACCTTTTTTAAACCATCGTAAGCTTAGTAATGTCATCTATTAATAAACGAAAAGAAGAAGCCGTTACGTTGGAGGAGACCCAAGCTATGAAAAAGTTATCACGACAGGCCCGAGCATGTAGAAACAAAAAACAAAGACACGGACAAGAAATTTTAACCCAACACAAACCGGAGGTTGATACAAGCTTTCCTATGAAATCCACAGAAGTGACTTCGATAATAAATATTGCTGATATATTTTTTGACCCGACCCAAGTAAATATTGTCGTGAATTTTATAATATAGTCTTCTTTGCGCTAGATTATTTTTTGTGTTGATAAAATAAATGTCTTAGTTATTTGCATGGGTTTGTGGAACAGAACGAAGCCATAATCGTCCTGTGCTTTGACTAAGATAATTTGTTTGTTCCTCAAAATATAATATTGTCACTCTAGAGATAGGTTTTTTAACCCAAGTCTGGTTTACATTAATTTACGAAAAACAAATATTTTGTAATTAAGCATAGAACCCAGTATGCTACTCGTGGCCTATGTATTCGTGATAAGGTGAATTATTTGGAAAAAGAATGGATAAGTATCCCTCTCACCTCTATGGATAGTAATTCATCAAAAAAAATCAAGACCTGAAAAGAAATTTCAACGAAAAGTCTACTAATCGAAACATTAATCCATGAAGCAATATCGACTAATCACTTTGTATCCGCTTTCGGCAATAATAATCCTCTTAGGTCACTCGAAGTCCCTTCCGATTTCCTAATGTTACTCGATAGTGATATCATTAATGGGTTAGCTTGTGATGACTTGTGGAATGAGAGTGTTGATACATCCAATTTGTCTGTTGATGATTCGAACAAAAAACTGTGGATCGCTTTTGGACGGTGATTGGGTTTGGGGACCAATTAAAAGACGAAATGTATGACGCCACCTTAAAAATTTATGGGGGAAACTCAGTCATGCTCTCGACCTTCAAGAAATTAAAAATCAGAAAGATATCTTCAATAATGTTATCACATATAAAACCTGAAGAGAAAAGACTCGTCTTATTATATCCTCACGTAGTTCGCACCAATCATTAGATGGATTAGTTAAATTTCGGTACGTGATAAAGTCCGAATGTGTCACGGATCAAGAAAATCGAACTTTAATCCATTTAGAACGATTTATCGATCAAAGTGCCATAGTGCAAGCGACAATGCCATGAATGTTATGATACTCGACATTTTTATTTTTTCTTTGGTCGATTAATAAGCGTATTTGATCGTCAGTCACATCACAAAAAATTGACAGTCAAATGGTTGCGGTGTAACTGAGATACACTTATTTCCCATACAATTATATATAAAAAAAAGTTCATCGTGCCTACGTCGCACCTTCATCGCACCTTCATCATACCTTTATAGTATCTTTATTACATCTATATGTGTCTTGACACTAGCTTCGCTATTATAAGGGGTGTAATACATAGAGCAAAGTTAACTGGAATTAGCATTACGTCCGAAACTATATAAAGATCAACGAAAAAAATTATTTTAATCTAACCAGTACTGAAAAATTAGGTTACACGAATAACATGTGCTGTAAATCATTAACATATTAACAGTTAAGGGACATTTCCCTCCCGTTGTTGTTACACACAATATAAATTGTATTATAAAAATAACATTTTGAGTCTTGATTAAGGGAAATGTCCCGTGACTATTAATCTAATTACAGTATCTTTTTTTGTCTTATTGTGTCACTGATGTCAAAACGAAAAAAGGTCGAAACCGAAGGTGTGAGCCCTCCTGCACCTAAAAAACGGATTGCGAGACAAGAGTCGCTTACGGTTAGTAGCCTTAGAATCAGTTCCAGTGCCCGTTCAAGCTATGGCTTAAAAGATCTCCCTTCTTCGGCATCCAAATTCTCGTTAGAAGATGTGGAGGCACTAAATGCAACCTTCAAATCGGCTTCCAATCAGAACGAAGTCATACCTGATGTTGCAGGTAAGAACTACTTTGTGTCAACAATCCTCTTAGCGAACTTATACATATAATTAAATATTGTCTAGGCACGAACATTCCACGTGATTATTTTCTCCCCAATCTCTCTAGCGATACGCTTCGGAGACCCGATTTCGATGTTAGCAACCTTCATGGAATTTCGGATAAATACGTCAAAGCGTTCGTTAAAAAGTTGCACAGAGTGGTCATTAATGCAGGTCTCGATATAGGCACGGATGAAGCTAAGACTGATTCATTAGTAAACCATATGTTAACTCGCTTTGCTGAATTTGATGGTTGGCCATTTGGTTTAAGGTTAGGAATAATAAAAATATCTTTGTTATGTATTCTAATTATTTCTTAACCTCATCATATCTAAACCTAGCACCAAAGAATGTTACAGGCTATCCGTTAGTGATAAGAAGGTGTCTGCAAAACCTGAATTTGTAGTAGATAAGAATGATATTGCTATTTTAGTCGTAGAGGTCTGTATGTTTTGATTGTTTGACGAGCCCACATTTTTTATTACTCAAAACCTTTTCTTAACAGGATAAGCATTTGAAGAACGTTTCGCCACCTGACTTTGGGGAATCGCAAATGCTTGCCGAGATACTCGCGTGTGGATGTGAAAATCATGATCGATCTCGTACAATTATAGATCAGACTATATTCATTGTTCGTGTCATCTCCTCGTTTATTACATTTTACAAGGCTGAGATTCCTGTAGCATATTGGAGAGAACTTAAGAGGGGCTTACCACGAAAGCAGTCAATTACAATTTTAAGATGGCCGGGGAGGAGTGATCCAAAAACTGGTCTAGATTTGGCGGAACCAGTCGGAAGACGTTCAGCTTTTACAGCATTAATCAAAATTCGTGAATCACTTTTACAGGAAGAAGACGAAGGAGAAAGTTAAGACTAACAGCTATCGTAATAATGTGATGGGTGCTGGGGAGCAGTTTATAGCGTGTTTTATAAATTCAATTTATTGTAATAAAGAATTACTATTTTTCATTTTACGTTGAAAATAATTCTTTTCATGCAACTTGTATATATTTATTATTCTTTCCTTCTCAATTTTCATTACATAAGTCTAACCAAAGATAAGTACAGGAGGTTGATCTTGATTAATAATTATTGTAATTTTTATAGGAAAAACAGAGAATATCAATTGACTGGATTTCCACGATATGATCATACCCACATAATTCTAAATGTGATTCTTAGACCGTGAGCGTTGCTACAAAATATGTTGAGTTTCACTGGTTGGTTCCTTTATCCGCTTTGTGCAAGCGAAAAAAAAACTGAACGAAAAAATTTTAATCAAACTTACATCTACATCATCAATCCAAACCGCTAAACGAGCCAGATTTCAGAAGAACTTCGACACATTGCTAATCAGATAAAGTAAAAAGATCTTTTTAATGTAATTAACCTGAAAAAGCATATGAACATATCTCAATACTTATTGTATTACATACTCCCAATGATATCCACCAGCACGAGCTTTACGCCCTTTGCAAACTTTTCCAATATATGATCCATCAATTCCAGTTATGCGTTGTGCTTCAGATATGGATTGAAATTCTTGAGTAGAGCCATCATCAAAAACCTGTTTGACAGCATGTTGATGACAATGACCCCAAAGTCCGAGGTGAACAGCGTGCTAAGAGTTTTCTTTCGGGGTACACCATTCAAGATTCAAAGCTTTATTATTGGTGGAACATCCGTTCAAATGGTTTACATAATCTTTTCCTTGCTCTTTTAGACAAAATGCTAATGCTACCAACCGATGAATATAATATTTCTCAACTCGGAGGTACCCTGAGTGTAATGATCCTCGAGAGATTAAACTATTGTGTAACTGAATTCTTCCGAGAGATGAAACTTTAAATTTTCGTAAATCAACCTTTATTTCTCTCTATTCTTCATTAGGGTCTTGTTCTATATAATCCTCATAATACATCCAACACCAACCACCAGCGATATTTCGCTTTCTACTACAACATGCCGAAATATGGTTTCTTGAAATCTTAAGTGCATAACCTGCAAGAGTTATTGAATCCCAAATTTGAACAACGTTTCCATCCAAAGTTTTCTGAACAATTTTTCTGGATCTGCCACGACCATGGTTTGGGAATACCTTATGTTCAGCATTCTCTTTAGGAGTTATCCATTCCAAATTATCTGCTCGATTGTCATCTCTATAACCATTTTTGTGATTAATATAAGGCTTATTTTC